TTAATGTAAAATACTGTTCGAGTTATAATCGTTTAACTGTAATTAATGTAAAATACTGTTGAGGTTATAATCGTTTAACTGTAATTAATGTAAAATACCGTTGAGGTTATAACCGTTTAACTGTAATTAATGTAAAATACTGTTGGGGTTATAATCGTTTAACTGTAATTAATGTAAAATACTGTTGGGGTTATAATCGTTTAACTGTAATTAATGTAAAATACTCGTTGAGGTTATAATCGTTTAACTGTAATTAATGTAAAATACTCTTCAGGTTATAATCGTTTAACCCTTCAATGAATGTAAAATATTATGGAATTAATATCGCATTCTTCCTCAGTAAATGTTATAATATATGCAAGTTTGAATATACCCCCTCAATGTACTTTTATTATTATACATTTTAAAGCAGTAATAAAGCACAATTAATACTGATAAGTAAGTTTATAAAAGAGATATGAAAACATTTCATTAACAAATATTACAATATAGGCCTAGCATGGCCTGGTGGTTAGAACTTGACTCGCAATGTTCTCGTCCTTTCAGCAGCGGGGAGCGTTATAATGTGACGGTCAATTCCACAATTCGTTGGTTAAAGAGTAGCCCAAGAGTTGGCGGTTAGTGGTGTTGACTAGCCTCCTTCCCTCTAATCTTTCACTTCAAAATTAGGGACTTCTATTGCAGATAACCCTGGATTAGCTTTCCGCGACATTCGTGTCTAGACTATAATACACACTTCGTCAACGTTTGACAAGGTTCAAATTTTGAATCAGAAATATTTTTTTTTTTACACGAGTAAATGAAAGGTGAATGATAATTTACATCCTTTACTATTTGATGATTCATAGTTGAAGGAAGTGTTTTTAATGTTAGCTTTTTCTCGAATTGATATTGATCTCAATCGGCGCTTGGCTTTCAGTCAATCCTGAATGAGTGTTTTTGAAGATAAGCCACAAACATTTTAAAGGAGTCATATGAAGAAAACAGTAAAAGTTATGGAAGTTATACGAGACAAATTTTCCTCAAATCTGTGTGAGAAACTGGTTCAAAATCGTTTCTCATAACTAACTTTAAGATTTTAACAGCAGCAATTATGTTAAAACAGTATATATATATTAGAGACAGCGACATCGATAAAGTTCAGACATTTTATATTGGAATATAAAACATTAAAGTTAAGTTTCGTTAGTGGGTTATAAATACGTGGCTATGAAAAGTACTACACGAAGCACGGTAACAGTAGTTGGTTAAAACATCAGCAATCTGTATATCACGTAATTGGCGGACAATAGCATCGTGTAATTACTAAAGCAGTAGTAACTGTGGCCGTCTTTGTTGTCTAAACAAAAAATATGGTAGAAATATTCGTTATCAGTTTCTTTTTACGAATATTGTGTTTCAATTGAGATCTGTTACTATCTCTATATCATTCCAGTGTTAAAAGTTTCGCTACAAATATCACCTTCGATATTGAACCAGCTATTAATATTTATGAAACAGTGGACCAGCTGTTTAATGTTTATAAAACAGTGGACCAGATGTTAATGTTTATAAAACAGTGGACCAGATGTTAATGTTTATAAAACAGTGGACCAGCTGTTAATGTTTATAAAACAGTGGACCAGCTAAACAGCTGGTCCACTGTTTTATAAACATTAAACAGCTGGTTCACTGTTTTATAACCATTACACGGCTGGTCCACTGTTTTATAAACATTAAACAGCTGGTCCACTGTTTTATAAACATTAAATAAATGATTATAAAACAGTGGACCAACTGTTTAATGATTATAAAACAGTGGACCAGCTGTTTAATGTTTATAAAACAGTGGACCAGATGTTAATGTTTATAAAACAGTGGACCAGCTGTTTAATGTTTATAAAACAGTGGACCAGCTGTTTAATGTTTATAAAACAGTGGACCAGCTGTTTAATGTTTATAAAACAGTGAA